TTAATTGACTTGATGATTTATTAATAAAAGGGCCATTTGTTATAAAATTAGGAACTTCAAGAGGTGGGATGTAATTTCTTGAACCATAGGGGCAATTTGTATTTTAAACAAATCTTAGAGGTTATATTTGTAATTTACCTTCATTTGTATCAAACTTGTTTTCAATTTTTCAAAAAAAAATCGTGAAAACTCAACCAAGTTCATGGGGAAGTCATTCTAAAGGGTTAGTCATCTATTAATTTTCAGTACTAATAATCTCTGGTTTGTTTTACACAAATTTGACAGTAGTCCATTCTTAACTTTTGGAATCTCTGAAACCTGTGGTTTGTTTATGTTGTGTTTGGTTGAGAGATTTGGGGAGGGATTTGGAAAGGGAAAAGGAAAAAGTGTGTGAAACTAGGTGAAATGTAGGTATATTTTATTCACATTTCACCAAACTTTTTCCTTTCCCTTTCCAAATCCCTCTTCAAATCCTCCAACCAAAGACAGCGTTAGGGAATTGTAATGTATGAAAGAAATTAGGTGTAAGTTAGCTGGTTTCAGTGGCACATAACTTGCCTTTGTTTCTTGCGGATTTGGCACTGGATATTGTGTTTTCATCTTACCTTTTAGGTCATTGATTTTATTCACGTATCAATTGGTGATAAATTAAAAGCCTTTCATGAAGCTTGCTTGATATTCAGATTGCAAAATAGGCTAAAGTCTCTCCTCCTTGTGCTTCAGATTGGCCACCCAAAACTGACTAGTAATAAAAATGTCATGCACTACACGAGGGCATCCATGGCTATGATGTGATACACGATGGTTGGATAATTGGTAAATTGACAGACGAATCATAATGAGCCTAGCACATATTTGCACTTTTCTTTCTTGATATTGACTAAATCTCAGTGGTGGTGAGTCAACAAGGTAGGTAATTCTGCTAAACAAATTAATGGACATTTATTGGCCAAGGCGACGTAGGTATGTTACACAAGGAGTAGGGCAAAACCCCATGATGGGGGACCATGTTTCGCTAAAAAGATGATGATAGGCTTGTTATGTGTGTCTAGTGCTTTCAAATATAAGCAGTGTTATACTATTTCATTTATCATCAACATCATGATCATGATCATGAACCATTTACTAATTGGATGATTGGATCACAGTGTTGGATTGCCATAATTGACATGTAACCAATTCCCTCAACCATCATTGAGGTGTCCAACATCAAATTGATAATTTGATTAACTGGAACAGCCTCTCAATAAATGGGATAAGACTGCATACATCTTTTCCTCTCCAGACCCCACTTTAAAGGGAGCGGGTCACCTTTTTGTCGTAAAGTGGGTAATTATAGGCACTTTTTTCCCCCTCTATAGAGTCATCTTGAGTAACTTTAAATGTATGAACTCGTGGGTGTGTACCCCATTATTATTATCTTAAGCATTGTAGATGTATGATGATACAGAAGAATAGTGAAACACTAGGAATGAATCACAAGCATTACATGAGAAAATTTTCTCAGAAGCCCATGACAATGATCATCCGACTGTTGATACTGCTGGTAAACATACATCCTATGTAGGAAATTTCTAACACTACTAAATAAGATAATAGCCGAATAATCAAGAGATGATTTCCTTCCTCATTAACTAAATAAAGTTGGAATCCAAGTCATGGTACAACAACCAACTTGGTTGCTACTTTTATTTCATTACATCACAATGACTTCAGATCCAAGAGTCGACACAACCAGCAAGGTTCGCCACAAAACCCCTTCTTTCTTCTCTTTGATGATGAGATTCCGAAAGAAGCTTACCTTTTTGTATTTTTTTATAGCCACCACCAATTTGGAATATATACCACATGTCTTTCCAATTGGCATTCCTATGACATGAACATTGATTAGGGAGAACATAGTCAATATGCACAGTCAAATTGACACGTGCCACAAAATGGTTAGTCTTATATCTGTTTTTTTGTTTTTGTTTTTATGCATATACATATAGTGTCAATGACTTTATCACAGTAATTTAATATTAAAAGGACATTATTATGCTAGTTTAGAATACTGATGGTAGATTGGTATTATTTGGACTCTGTAAGCAGTTAAATGTTGATGCATTCACAAATCAATCGCTTCAGTCCTGCTTCTATGCATATTAGGCTTATGTTTCCAATAGCCTCTTTAGGTTGTGTTTGGATCTAAGATTTGAGAAGAGATTTGTGCAGGAAAAAGGAAAAGGGAAGGGAAGGGAAGGGAAGGGAAAAGTGAATGAAATAGAAAATACATTTCTGTCACTTTCCCCTGCCTTTTTACTTTTCATCTACAAATCCATCCTCAAATCCAAGATCCAAATATAACCTTGATGTTTTGTAGAATATCCAATCATTTTATCTCATTTGATGCTCAATCCTTAAATTAAACACAACCTTAATTTCTTTCTCCTATTTTATAAACCTCAAAGTGAAAGATTCCTGCCTGTGCCATATAATTGACTTGCATATTTGTTGGATGGTTGTTAGTTAACTCATTGAGTTTGCTCTTGGTTATGATAGAACTAGTGGCAAAGCTGGGATTTTAGTTTGGTAAAAAAAAAAGGGTAAATTACAATTACATCCCCTGAGATTTGTTTAAAATACAAATTGCTCCCTGTGATTTTGGAAATTACAAATACTCGTCCGTCAGAATTATCAATATTTCAAAACTACTCATATCTCATACATATCACTATAATAAAATCATCTTGAGATTCAAATGTATGGAACTCTCAAGTTAAAACATAATGAAAGGAAATGTTTTCTTAGATTTATTTGTGAATTAAATAAGAAGTCAATCTATGTCAATGTTCTAATTAATTGTGAATTGAATTTGTTGGAAGAACATTGAGAAAAACTTAAAAGGTATATACACAACTCTAGAAGGAAAAAAGTTTGGAAACATTTTCAAAAACTAGCTAAAAATATAATTTCCTAAATGTTGAGGAGGCGCATGTTCCTTTCCTGGTCCTTTGTTACTTACTCTGTCCCTGGATAGAACCAGCCCATAGATCAACCACAGGTAGTGTTTATTAATGCTGATTGAAGAAACAATTGTGCTCCTCTTTTGTAAATGAAATCCTTTCAAGCAACTGAAAAGTGGGATGAGCCAAATTGACAGTAACCACAAAATGCTAAATAATATAAAACCCAACAAAATCCACTGGAAGTTTGTGTGATGTGGTTTTATTTCATATTTAGGAAGCATGAATATGGATACAGGATATGGATACGATATGATATGGATATGACAATATGACAAAACCTAAAAAAATAGGATACATGTATGGCTAAGATATGTTTGTAAAAAAAAAAAATATTAAAAAGAAACAATATTAGTAATTAGTTACACATAAACTCAAGAATGTTAAGAAACCACACTACAATTTTATAATGTAAAATACTAATCTTTAAGAATTAGGTATTAATTTCAGCCAGTAAGTAGTTTATTTTTTTTAATAGGTCTCACAATTATTTCATTTCAATATCAAGTTTAATATGTTTATATTACAATAATAGAACTAGATTTAATGTTACTATTGCTATATTCTCTTGTTAATCCTTACTTTCTATATAGTTATAAGGGACATGTCTGATACAATAAAAATACATTAATTTGACAAATTATAATACGTGCCTTGGAGTATCCGACACTTCATAATTAATGACAAATTAATTAAGAAGTATTTGACAATGTTTTAAAAATCGGACCGGTGAGCGAACCGGAAAAGGGATCGGGTGGACGGGTCACCGGTTCAACCGTCGGGTTGAACCGGAATCGAACTGTGACGTAATAAATATATTAAAATTATATTTAAACAAAAATATAAGTAATAAAATTATAAATTAAAAATATTAAATTATCTTAAATATTTGTCTTAATATTTTTTTTTTCTGAAAAATATAATAATATATTTTGAAATATTATTAATTTCAATTTTGGAAGATGAAATCAAATATTTAATATTCCCTCCATATGATTTTAATTCAAATAATTTGATTGAAAGGAGAGCAAAAATTTTGGAGGGATATCAAAATTTCAATATTCCCTCCAATACATTTGATTGAATCCCACATGGATTTCTTGAGTCTTTTTGAAAGAATTTTTTTCTTATAAATAGGTGAAGACTTTCACAATAATTTCATCAAGCTCTTAATGGGATTCCTCACAAGAAGAGGCCTTTGAAAAAGAGTTTCAAATTAAAATTTTCTTATTTTCTTATATTTTTTATATATATATAAAATAAGAAAGAAAGAAAAAAAAAACAAAAAATTCGTTTTCACAACTCGGTGAACCGGAACCCGGTCGACCGGTTCTTCGGTTCGACCGCCGATTTTTCCGGTTCTTCCAAGATAGGTCGGTTTTCTACTATGACCGGTTCAGTGGGTGTATCCGGACCGGAACCCCGACCGGTCGGTTGAACCGGCCGGTCCGGTCCGGTTTTTAAAACCATGGTATTTGATACTTTTAATAAATATTTGATACGTCATCCTCTTAGAAGTATTTGTACTTCATAGTTCATTATGGAATAGCACTGCATTATAAGGTCAAGTACATTAATTAGTTATCGTTTAGAGTTGAATGCTTGAAACCAATATATTTTTGCTCATGATCAATATTGATCCATTCATTAACTTTCCTAGAATAAGTGATAAATGATAAATTTGAGAAGAAACCAACGTCCAATAGATATCAGGGACGGAAAGTTAGAAGAGGACTTTTGAGGAAAAGATATACAATTCTTTACTAAATATAGTAAAATCTATATGGTGTGTGTACTGAGCCATGCAAGTTAGATATACACAACGACAACCCACACAAGAAATGGAGGCTCCACTCACCCTTGATCATACATATGCAAGAAAATGTCCGGAACCTACCTTAAGTCTACGTCAGATGCCACACAAGTGCCGACCCAATTAAAAGACAATCCACTGTCATCGGTTTTAAACCAATTTTCTACCATGGATTAGTGGATGAAACGAGTCCTCCACCAGTATATATAGACATGTGGGTCTTTGTGTTTTTCATCCATTAGTGTGAAAGTTGTCTCTGAACTGGTCTTTTTATCCTTTCATGGATTTTGTAGTAAAGTTGATGTTTACCCTTACTCTAGCTCTTATTGCATCATTATCCATGGAACTTGTAGTGGGAGCTAGAAGTGACTGGCAATGGTCTAATAAACATAATAAGCTGAACTTGTTGGAATCCGGGGATCTTGTGATTAACTTGCCAGGCCAGCCTAAGGTAGACTTCCAGCATCATGCTGGGTACGTGACGGTGGATGAAAAAAATGGAAGGGCACTCTTCTACTGGTTCTACGAGGCGTCGACTCTTCCTGATGAGAAGCCTTTGGTGCTGTGGCTTAATGGAGGTAAAGTCTATATATATATAGAATTATGCGTAGTTACTTTTGGTGGATCATATTTTTCCATATCAGGGCTGGAATGAGTGTGGAATGAGCCTGAGAAAGTGCCATTTAAATGCTCTTATAGTTCTGTATATTGCACCTTACCTGTTCTGCAACTCCTACTATGTTGGTGGCCTCTAAAGAGGGTGCGAAGATGGTGGTAAGAAATTTTACAGGGTCTAGGAGAATATTGATGACCAATGCTGCATAGTTCCAAAGCTTATTAATTTACTTGGGGGAGGATTTAATTTATTCACCTTTCCCAAAATTTCATGGTCATGGTCATGGTCATCCAGATTCCAATAACTCTCTTTTGACCAAATCTATTGATCTTACCTATATATGTGTCTGTGCATGTGGGAGAATGCTATTCTTTTAGAATTTTCATACAGAATCATTCACCCGAATGATATGTCAGTGAAAATTTGATAATAAAAAGCATCTTAGTGGTTTGTTTGTTTGGTTATTTATTTATTATTATTTTTTTAAGGCCCATAATTCTTCCACATAATTTTGTATACAATTTCTATTTATATATCGTTACTCAAGAATGTATACCAACCTTATCCAAAGGGAAGTGGAGAGAGAGAGAGAGAGATTCCATCCTACGTTTTTCTTCTTCCTTGTCTTTGAACGGCATCACATGTCAATCGAACAAGCCTTTATTAACAAATGTGTAGTCATGTCCTTTGAGGATATAGATTGATTATCCTATTATTTTATCACTCAGTGGACATTGTTCTGCTCATTTCCAACTCACCCATGGAAGCTCATATAATATAATAACTCCATTTTGTGCTTTTATTATTTTCCTGTTTTCAAGTAAGGTGACAAGAAACTATTTGTTCCAGGACCTGGGTGCTCTTCTGTGGGATATGGAGCAACACAAGAGATTGGACCATTTATTGTGGACACAGATGGACATCCCCTTAAACTTAATCCTTATGCATGGAACACAGGTACGAGGGTGTTAAATATCGTCCGATATGTGTTGAGATCTTGGACTACCAATACCAAAATTGAATGATATATCGGCGGATATATGACCGTATTCTGCTATTTAAAACTAGGGTCTTAAATATCATCCGATATGTATCGAGATCTTGGACATTTATCAAAAAAAAAAAAAAAATGTGTCGAGATCTTGGACTTCTAATACCAAAATGAATGATATATCGACTGATACATGACCGTATTCTATTATTTAAAACCATGCCATATAATGTCTACCAATCTACGGACAAACATATTTGTGGCTGAAGTTAAATAGTGCATCAGTATTTTGTCATTATAAATCATATAAAGAAATGACATTTGCTTGCAAAATCACATTGAAGGACCTCCATATAAGTTTCCCACGTACCACCACAGTATCTTATTCAAAATTCTCTGCCTTTGATGATGATGCAGAAGCCAACATGTTATTCCTGGAATCCCCAGTTGGAGTTGGCTTTTCATACTCTAATACAACTACCGACTATGATAATCTCGGAGATGACTTTACAGGTGAGCTATATGCAAGTTTCCTATATATTTGCAAAATTTAAACTTGTAAAGCCTCTTTCATGAGTGGTTTTTTATACTTTTATTTTTTTAAAAGTTTAATTTAATTTTTTATTTTTACTTTGCATGTGGTATGTTGGATAAGTATAGGAACTGAAATTTTTTGCAGGTAAGTGCGCATATGGCAACACCACATTCATCATATATGGTGACCACAATGCTGTATTCCGTGCACTTTGTTGTGAAAATTTTATGCATTTATTTATTTATTTATTTTTGATTGAGAATTATGCGTTTATAACTAAACTGTTCCTTGTTAAACTTCTATAAGTTTTAGTATGGTATCTTTTGACTGCATCTGGATAGCACCTGTGAACCTAATTATTTTGCGTTGGTTTGGGTTCTATGGATTATAACAACAGCAAATGATGCTTACACATTTCTACACAAATGGTTCCTCAAGTTCCCATCCTATAGATCCCGGATATTTTATGTAGCAGGGGAGAGTTATGCTGGTATTTTTACCTCAACCACCCTTTTTTGCATCGGTCTTAATTACATTCCTCGCATGTTCCCATTATTTTCCATGTTATAACAGGCAAATATGTACCCGAGTTGGCCGAGCTCATTCTTGACAAGAACAAAGAGCCAACACTATTAATCAATCTGAAGGGCATATTGGTATGGTCATTTCCAAATAATAAACATTATTTTCAACAACTGATAATCTCTTTTTACATTTTTTCTGTACACGCTTATCTTTTAGCTACATCAATTTTTATAGTGTTTTTGAAATGTGATGATTATCTATGGTAAATTGTAGCTGGGTAATCCTGAAACATGTGATGCCGAGGACTGGAAAGGTCTGGTTGATTATGCTTGGAGCCATGCTGTGGTATCGGATGAAACTCATGAAACTATCAGAATGTTCTGTGATTTCAACAGCAATAACACATGGAGCAACAACGACTGTAGTCAAGCAGTTGATGAAGTACTCAGACAGTACAAGGAGATAGACATCTACAGCCTCTATACCTCGGTGTGCATCGGCAATTCGACAAGTTCAGGAGGTTCAGAACAGACATCATTGCAAGTAATGTTCAGGAGCACATCTAAGATGGTGAGTATTGATTAATAATTCATTGATCATTTTAGTTTTGTTTCAGCATTACACATTTTTTAATCCCCTCAAAGGGCCACATACAAATTAATGCAATAGATAGATTTAAATATCATCTTAAGATCCCTTTGTTATCTTATGACTGGTTCACAACCAATATGGCCAATTTGGCAGCTATAAAGGCTTTTATTTGTTTATTTATTTTGTTTTTATCTTTTTGAAAGATTTACAATCATGTCTCCTGATTCTTGATATTGCTATACCACGACCAGTACTGATTTGTCTCCCAATACTGCTGTTTAAAACCTTGCTTGGTTTTGCTTGCTAGATGCCAAGGATCATGGGTGGTTATGACCCATGCCTCGACGAGTATGCGACAACTTATTACAACAGACCTGATGTGCAGAAGGCCCTCCATGTTAGCAATGGTGACCACCTCAAGAACTGGAGCATCTGCAAGTAATTCAATCTCTTTTTTTTTACTTCTGATAGTTGTCATTGTTCTTTAGCAAATTCCCAAAAAGGTATAGATACCTAGGGATATGTATTTGAGAAGCATATAATACAAAAGAGTCTTGCTATGCACACAAATCTAGAACACAGAATCAATAGGACAGGCTCACAAGGCTGTGGGCCCACATAATGTAGGGCACATCCTTGTGAGTGTCTTCATCCCATTCTCAATCATTTGTGTTCCTAGCAATAGTGAAGAGTAGAAGGTCTTCTTGATACTTACTGAACTAGTGCTATGCATTTGGGAAGCATATAAGAGCAAAGAGTCTTGCTATGCACACAAAAATAAAACACAAAATTAATAGGAGACTAACACTCACAAGGTTGTGGGTCTCACACAATGTAGGGCCCATAACTTATGAGTGTTGTGTCCCATTACATATCTATTTTTTTGTGTTCCTGGCATTGGTGTAGAGCAAATGGTCTTTGTGATACTCACTGAAATAACTACAATGAATGCAGTATGAAAATATTTGATGACTGGTCAGATTCAAAGGAGTCTGTTCTTCCAATATACAAGAAACTGATTGCTGCAGGGCTTAGAATATGGGTCTACAGGTACATGTTCCTATATAACTCATGGCATCAGTTTCTATATATGTAAGTCCCGTTTGGTAACGTATACAATTTACTCATTTTTTTTTACAGAAAATATGAAGCATGTTTATGTTTATTTTTGATAAAAACAAAAGCAAAAACACATTTTGACACGTACTTGTTTTTAGGAGGGGGTGATTGGAAGCTGTTGGTGGAGGGAGGTGATGGATGAGGGTGGTTGCCGGAGATGGTGGCAGAAGGTGGTGGTTGATGGCCGGAGATGGTGGCAGAAGGTGGTTGTCCATCTATGGTGGCCAAGTGGTTATCGACAGGAGGTGGTGGCTGGATGTGGTTGCTAGCCATGGGTGGTGGTGGTCGGAAGAGGTGGCCAAAAACGGTGGTTTGAGGTGGGGTGCCAGTTGTGGTGGTGAGAGGTGGGTGGTGGCTAGAGGGGGTAGGAGGAGGAGGAAGGAATGAAAATTTATTTTGTAAACAAGTGAAATTAAGTTTTCAGGAGGTGGTGGCTGGATGTGGTTGCTAGCCATGGGTGGTGGTGGTCGGAAGAGGTGGCCAAAAACGGTGGTTTGAGGTGGGGTGCCAGTTGTGGTGGTGAGTGGTGGGTGGTGGCTAGAGGGGTTAGGAGGAGGAGGAAGGAATGAAAATTTATTTTGTAAACAAGTGAAATTAAGTCTTTTTTTTTTTTTGTGTGCAAGAATTTATTAATTATGTAAACTGTTTACAATTTTTTTTAAAATGAAAATAGATGCCAAATAAATTTTTGTTTTTAATTTTCAATTTTTAATTTTTAATTTTTTATAAAATGAAAATAGATGCCAAATAAATTTTTGTTTTTAATTTTCAATTTTTAATTTTTAATTTTTTATAAAAATAAACAGAAAACAACAAATACATACACGTTACCAAATAGGTCCATACTGTTTGTAATCATATATTTTGTACATGTTTGATATGGCTTTTGTGGGTGGTTCAGTGGAGACACAGATGGAAGAGTCCCTGTATTGTCAACAAGATACAGTTTAAGCTCTCTTGGACTGCCTATCACTAGGGCATGGAGGCCTTGGTACCACAAGAAGCAGGTACCATTAAATAATAGTATGGCATTCTTTAAATTAAAAAAAAAAAGATGTAAATTTACAAATACACCCCTAGAGATTTTTAAAAAATATAGATTTCCCTCATGTTTTGAAAATTACAAATGCCCTCTTTTCAGAATTTGTCCTTCAACTGCCCTAATAGAAAATTATTATTTTTTTATTTAAATACCTTCTAATGCCAAAATGAAACTATCATACTATCCTAATTTTTATCCACCTTGGAATCCCTGTCTACACCACAATATTCTCCAATTTTCTTCGGCAGCACACCAAATGCTTATAGACAATAATGGCAATGGTGCTGATTGACAGTGGGAGAGGGTGGTGTGATGATTGGGCAAAATGGTGTTACTAGTTGAGAGAAAATGAGGAACAAGATAGGTGAGATAGGAAAAAGAAAAAAGAAAATGAAGTGTTCATCTTCATAAAGGTTAATATAGGTATTTTTGAAAAAAAATTGTTTCTTACATCATACACTCTATTAGTTTGATTTAATAGTTGATTAACGGAGGGGGACATTTGTTATGTGATTGAAAATTTCAAGAGGTGGGATGTAATTTTCCAAACATGAGGTGAGAATCTATATTTTAAATAAATTTCAAGGGATGCATTTGCAATTTACTCTAAAAAAAAAAAAGTGAAGAGTTTAGAGAAGACTAGCTTCCACTATTATTTTTTAAATTATCTGAAAAGGCCACTACCCAACAAAGATAATCTTTACAATTGTTTGTTTGTTTTTTGGGAGCCAATAACCATTAATTAAATATTCATATCTTTTCATTGTATACAAACAAATTTTTTGTATAGAATTATGTTGCTTCTTGTGGTTCATTCGTTTCTAATGAATATGATCACCACTATCCTTATAATTTCATAAATGCCACTGCCACATCATTCTTATCATAAATTATGTATAAAAACTTTGTAAACATATCATTTTCCAAATCCTAATATGGTATCTTTTCTTTTCTTTTCTTTTCTTTTTTTCTTTTACAAATTTGTTTAGGAGAATAAAATGGTTATTTGAATATTCTCTTGGAGTATATATAGTGAAGACTGTATTTGCTAGGATCAGCAATTAAATCTGTTGAGATGTTTTGATGAAGATGGTTCAAATTTGGATATTGAATGTTCATCAGATTGAACTTTTAAGTACTACCTGGAGGGATAAATGGAACCTATTAGGTGGTGGATTCCAATTCTTTATCCCACTTTTATTTCATATTAAAATGTTAAGATAAGGCTTGTTATTAGTGTCTATTGTAGCATGAATTTGAGCCACAGAAACGACCACTAGACATGAGTAAGATTGTGTACATCTTGTTCACTCCAAACCTCAGTTTAGCAAGAGTCTTGTACACCATATCACCTAACTATTAACATGGTATGGGAAATGCTAACCATCGCCCAATGGACAGTGGTTAATGTTGAGATATGTGCAAAAAATATATTGAAATATGTAACAATATATAGAGGTGTATAAAATTATATGACATTCATATTGAAATTGATTTTTTTTTTCCGACATTATTTAGTCCTTCACAACTGTCCAGCGAGTGGTCGTTTGCAGAGCCTTTGTAATATGTACGCACCAATTCTATGCTTTGCTTAGGAATACAAAAACGAAACACAGAACAAGGCATCAAATCCATGGATGAACATAATCCACATCTAGAAAATCATGGCAATCAATATATTTTATGTTAGACTTATCGTGTATCTATTTGCAACACAGTTTTAATCTTTCTCCTTGTTTGAATAAGGTTGGTGGTTGGCTCCAAGAATATGAGGGGCTTACATTTGCGACATTCAGAGGAGCTGGACATGCAGTTCCCATCTTCAAACCGAGCGAGTCGCTTGCTTTCTTCTCTTCCTTTCTTCGTGGGGAATCTCCACCTTTCAAACGCTACTAAAAATTGCAGAAATTATCATGCAAGTGCGGAACACTACGTAATCGTATGTCTGACCAAAATGTGTTGTCGAAGTAAGCTTTTGACATAGCTGTATGGTAAAAAAAAAAAAGTTGGAAAATGAGAGATTTAGGAATATGAATGTTTTGGTTCTGCATGTCATGAATACATATATAGATCAATTTTCTCCCTGTTTTCCATTTGCTTGTTTGGTTGCTGAGAAAATGAATAGAATAAACTTAGATAGTTCTAAATTTCAAAGTTTTGAGTTATTTTCCTCCGCCTTCCATATGTACTTCAAAGATTCATCGTGTTGTAAAGGTCGTTAAAATTAGGATCTTATATCACATCGTTGAGAGAGTCTTATGAATTAGATCATAGAATTAGAGAGAAAATCATAAGATTCTACTTTTAATATAATTTAAGGATGATGTCTGTAAAGAAAAATTTAGAATCATAAAAGAGAAATGATAAATTTAATATACTAATTATATACTAACATAGATTGTTGTAGAGTATTTACTACTAATATTTTTTTAGCGACACAATTGGTAAAATGGTTAATAAAATCAATTTTGGAGAGAAATCAGATTTTCAATTCTATCTCCAAACAATTTGATTCAAATAAAAATTTGAGTTCACTAGTTTTAATACTAGAGAGAAACCAAAATTCCAACTCTTTTCAAATATGTTAATTCAAGTAATTTAAAGGGAAGACTTTCACATTCTCATCAAATTCAAATGAAATTTTACAAAAGAGAAGATGCTTAGAGAGAATTTTAGTCAAAATTTTAATATATAGAAATAAAGAATAAGGGAAAAAGCTAGTAGAATCAAGGTTAAATTCTACACAATTTTGGGACTAAAGTTTTTGATCAGCAAAGAAAAAGTTTTATTAATGATGAAAAAGAAGAGGAGACTTGACTGAATTGCATCATAGCTCAAGAATACATCCCAACTATGTTGGCACCTATAAATGAGCCCAATCATATGCAAGCTAAGGCCAATACAAGTGGTTGAAGAGAGTACAACCAAACTGAAGAAAAAGAAAAATAATAAACTACAGAACCCATCAACCAGCCAGAGCCTTCAATTCCTTCAATTTATGACCCTTCAACCCATCCATACAGAATAGAAAATCACAGATAGCAAATTCAGGCAAATGACTAGAAAACTTCACCCAAGAGGCCACTTTGATTTTGATGCTTTCCACAATATTTTCCCAGATAGGAACTTTAGAGTTAAAAATCTTGTCATTTCTTGCAATCCATAGGCTCCAAAGCACAGCTAATGGAATTGCTTCCCATATGAGTGCACCCAGATTTTCGGATTTTTAACCATACCACCATAGAAGCAAGTCTTGTAAGGAGCAAGGAGAGACCCACTGAGAGCCCCACCAATACATAATTTCAGACCAAACCTTCCAAGCATGATTGCAAAGCAAGAGCAGGCTAGATGCATTTTCATTATCCAAACCACAGAATGCACAATGATTAACCATTGTAATAATGGACCTTCGGGCAAGAAGATCCGAAGAGGCAATCCGATTCCACCAAACAAGCCAACCAAAAGCTTTAATTTTGGGAGGAGCTAATGATTTCCACATTTTCATAATTGGAAAGGGAGTTAATCTAAGAGAATTTTCAAAGATCTCATAAAGAGACTTAACTGTGAATGAACCGGATGGTATGAGAGCCCATAACAAAGAGTCCTCGCAATTATGACTCAAGTTGATTGGTTACGACAATCTGCTGATTAGCTCAAGGTGCAATTCAATTTCCCAGACTCTCAGACTCCTCCTGTAATTGATATGCCAATGAGTTTGATTGTCCACAGTCGAGTGCAAATATTGGTGAACACAAGAATCTTTATTAGAGGCTAAAGAGAAGAGTCTTGGATAGAGATTGCACAAGGGAGTACAAGAGGCCCACGCATCAAACCAAAATTTGATTCTATTACCATCACCTAGCTTGAACTGAGTATTTTCCAAGAATAATGCAATTGCTTTAGAGCCATACCTTTCCATAGATAAAATACTTTTCCACATTGTGGATGAGTGCCTAAAGCATGAGCCATTTGGGAACCAACAATCTCCATTTACATTATTTTTGGCACATATAACTTTCCTCCACAGTGAACTTTTTTGAGTGGCAAATCTCCACCACCATTTGCAAAGAAGAGTATCGTTGGCTTCCTGAATTTTTCTGAAGCCCAAACCACCAAAATGTTTGCTAACAGTGCATGCCTCCCAGTTAAGAAGATGTAATTTCCTTTTGTCGTCACTATCTCCTTATAAAAAAGATCTCTGATATTTATCAATTAAGTTTGCTACTTTGGAAGGGATTTTGAAAATGGACATATAGTAAAGTGGGAGAGAAGATAGTACAGATTTGATCAAAGTAATTCTACCTCCAAGAGAAAGATACCTCATTTTCCACGATGCTAATCTTTTCTTCACTTTGTCTATAACAGGCTCCCAAGTAGATACTCTTTTTGGGTTGGCCCCAAGAGGCATTCCTAGGTAATTGATTGGTAGGATTTTCATCTTGCAATTGAAAAATTCTGTTACTTGTGATGTGAATTCCCTGTTTATCTCGATGCCATAGATTACAGACTTCTGGTAGTTGATCTTCAACCCGGAGATTAACTCGAAGCAACTAAGAATTCTTTTCAAGTTTGTTATCTCATCCCAGTCTGGATTACAAAACATGAGAGTATCATCTGCAAATTGCAAATGAGATAGGTTTAGCCCTGAGCCACTTATATCCACACCCTTGATAAGATTGAGGCATTTAGCCCTTAGGAGGAGAATATTCAGCCCTTCAACCACAAGATTAAAGAGAAAGGGGGAAAAGGGGGTCACCTTGCCTTAATCCTCTCTGTGGAGAAAATTCTTGAGAAGGGGAGCCATTGACCAATACAGATATATGAGGAGAAGAAATACATTCTTTAATCCATGCTATCCATTTAACACCAAAACCAAATTTATGAAGCAAATGGAGGAGAAAATTCCAATTGACACTGTCGAAAGCCTTCTGAAAATCCAATTTGAGAAGGAGCCCTACTGAAGAATTATGCTTCCACAAATCAACGACTTCATTAGCTATGAGAATGCCATCTAAGATTTGCCTTCCTTTTACAAAAGCTGACTGAGTTTCATCTATCAATTTGGGCAAGACAGATTTCAATCTTCTTGATAAAATTTTGGCTAGAATTTTGTAGATATAACCTATCAAACTGATGGGCCTGTAGTCAGATAAAGAAGATGGATTCGGTATTTTTGTAATCAAGGTTAAGAAGGTAGAATTTAGGCCTTTTTTGATCCTACAGTTTTGATGAAACTCATTGAGAAAGAGACAAATATCAACCTTGATGAAAGCCTAACATTGTTTGATGAATTTCATGTTGAAGCCGTCTGGACCTAGAGCCTTACTTCCTTCACTGTGGTTTATGGCATCCCAAACCTTGGTTTCTAAAAATGGTTGTTCCAGCAAGATTGCATCCATATTTGAAAGAGAGCGCTGAAAGGTCCTGAGAATGTGGGTCTTGAAGGCCATTTTTCTGAGAAGAAATTCTGAAAATGAGACTTGACTCCACTTTTTATCTGCTCCGGATCCTCTATATTTACTCCATTGATGAATAGGTTTCCTAGTGAATTTTTCCTCTGCCTGGAGCTCGCCACCATATGGAAGTATTTAGTGTTTTTATCCCCATCCTTGAACCAAATCTGCCTTGATTTTTGTAGCCAAATGCTCTCAATCAGTCGTGAGATTTTCCAAAATTCAAGTTTCAGATTCCTCTTGTTGGCAGACTCCTCCTCAGATAAAGAACGGTTCTCATGAAGGAGATCCAAAGTGTGCAGTTGGTTTTCGATGGAAATTAATTTTTCATTCAGATTGCCGAATACAACTTGATTCCATTGCTTGAGAGCTAATTTTACTCCCTTGAGTTTCATGAAGATTCTGTGGCCAGCCCATTCAAAAACCACGCTCGAACTCCAGGCATCTTTCACTACATTTAGGAATTTTGGATGAGAGAGCCAAGCATTGAGAAATCTGAACGACTTTGGCCCCCAATCTCCATTGTTTGCCATGAGAAGAATTGGACAGTGGTCAGATAATATTCTTTGAAGACCCCATTGCTTGAAGCCAAATCTGTCCAGCCATTGTGAATGAAGAAGAAACCTGTCAATTCTGCTCCATCTATTAGCCTCTTGGTTACTTGATCAAGTGAAAGATCTTCCTTGTAGAGGTCAATCTTTTACCTCCAGATTGACCACCATCTCACTGAATTGTTTCATACTAGCAGAGAGTGATAGGCAACCTTTTCTTTCCCCAATTCTAATAATTTCATTAAAGTCACCCCTAATGCACCATGGTAAATCATACGTAGTTCTAAGACTCAGAAATTCATCCCACAGAATTTTCCTTCTATTGGCTTCATTTGGGGCATAAACATTAATTAAAATGCAATCAAAATTTGGGGAAATTGTACCTTTTAAAATGATGAAATTTGGACTCTGAATACACTCACAAACTTGGAATAATGACTTGTCCCAGATGCAAATAATACCTCCCGAAGACCCCTCAGCATTCACTACTGCAAAGCCCGGATCATTGTATGGCCATAATGAGTGAATGAGTTGGCTATTGATAACTTCTATCTTTGTTTCTTGGAGAAATAGTATGTCGATTTTTCTTTAAGAGATGAGGTTTTTGACTCCTCTTCTCTTCTCTCTTTTTCCTAAACCCCTAATAGTCCAAGAGATAATCTTCATCAGAAATAGAATTATAAGTCCATTGATAATCTGTGGTTGCCAAGAATTAAATTCTCTCACCCATTGCTTCATTGACATGGAGCTCATTTTGATCATGGAGCTCATTGAGCTTACTAACAACCTCATCATCATCTTCATTACTTTTCAGACCAAGGAGTTTCCCAATTTCCCACACTGCTTGAGCTTCATTAAGAATAATTTGATTTCGATTAGCTATGGTATCTGCAGAAATTAAAAGTGAAATAGCTGCTGCAGCTGAACGAAATGTTGCAACTTTTTTGCTCTTTTTCCTTCCCCATCTTCTACGGTTCTTATTGGCAGCAACATTTCCAAGCACATGCTGCAAAAATTTCCTTTTCCTCTTCCTTTTGGACAAACCCATGAGTAGTTTAGAGATTCCATCAACTATTTGTATCCAGTG